TGTTAAAAAGATAGAGTGAGTCGAGGGCTTCCATTTAATCTGAATAGTTGGCGATTTGGAGCACTTTGGTATTTGGACATAATCTCTGTCTTCTCCATTTGGGTTGTTGTCTTCGAGGTAAGGATTTCCTACTCCATCTTATAAGTTTTGTTCTAAGTTTTAGTATTTTGATATGTTGGGGGTACTTTGGTAATTTTGGGGAAAACCCTAGTTGTATTAATTAATTAATTTGTATAATTAATTTAAGGGAATTGGGGAATTTGGTTAAATTCATGAAATTGGGGAATTTATTGATTAAATGGTGTAGTTGGATAATTTAAATCACTCGCCTATGGAATTGTTGATATATTTATTTCCAGGTTTAGAAATAACTGTTTTGGGCTATCGGTGGAGGATAGTCGTGATTGTTGTAGACAATGCATGTGGATTAGGTATAATTGAAACTAATCACATTAGTTGAGTCATTAATTTTGACTGTTGAATTAATACAGACATTATGTGTATTGATGGTGAGATGTATATGTTATGTGTTTACATACTTTGTTTTGTGTGGGAGGAGATAGGGGATGTACTCCACGGTTTAGGGGAAGATAGGGGATGGACCTCTAAACCAGATTTTGTTTGGGAGGAGATAGGGGATGGACTCCATTAGCATCACTTTTATGTGTGCTTATCTATATTGAAGTGTTTTATTGATACAGCACTAAAATGTGTATCAAACTGGAAGTATGAAGTGCTTTGATTTGAGCATGAGTCTCATTTATTTGTTGATATTGGAGGAATGTGAATATGATATATATATATATATATATATAATTCACTGTGGTAAATTTGGCCAGGTTCTGAGCCATGATGATAAAGTTGGAAAGTAAAACGTGTCTTAGACAATAGTGTCATGAGACTGTAAAATGAAGTAATTGATTATCTTGGTTAACCATCTGTTGAATGCTATTGCTTTATTCATTGCTTATATGTGGTTTAGTATATTTCTACTGGGCTGTGGCTCACCCTATATGGGAACATCATTTTCAGGTTCAGGTAGCATGCCACCTCCAAGGACATAGCTTGGGAGGCTAGAGGCGGACATACTTTTGTCGTTATCTTTTGATGTATTACATGTAATTTCAAGCCAAGGGCTTTATGTGTAAACGAGTTAGAACTCTTTTGTTGTAACCAAGTATTAACTTGGAAAGCTGTAAGCTTGTAAGGCATTTTGCTTTTGTTGTTAACATGTAATACTTTTTTTTGTATCCAAGTGTTGGCTTGGAAAGATGTAAGCCTGTAGGGCATTTTATTCGATGTTACATGTAATGCTTTTATTTAGTAATACTCTGATGAATGAATTAATGAATTGTTTTCTTTAAATAATGCATGTCAATGATATATATATAATGAGTTATTTTGAGGGCGTTAAAAATGATCTAGTAGAAGATGAGAAACCCATCGCACAAAGCAACTGTTTTTCTTAGGAGTTAAAAATCTCAACATCACAATAAAATTGATCAATTATCAAGGTAATTTGGATTCACTTCAGTGAAATAAATAGTTCATATTATACAATTAAAAAAAAAAATTATTCTTATAAAAATTAATTCACCAAATGTTAATTGTCATACTATTAGAACATTTTTATTTCGGTGGTGCTACATGCACCAATTAATGTACCAACTAGTGTTATGACATTATTATTGACACCACTTATTATATAAATTAAAAATACTCAGAATCTCTAAAATTATTTCACATTATCTGTTAGTACACTAGTTAGTATACTAATTGATGCATATAGTATTATTTTTTTTAGTTATAAAAAATACATGTTTTTAATAATAGACCGTTCATTTATTATAATATATGGGTGTGTTTGTTTGGACGGACTGGATAAGGGGGATTGTAATCCACTGAACTGTTAGTCCTAGGATACATTGTCCCCGGATTATTTGGTTGGATTAGGTTCATATCCTATGTTTGTTTAGTCATGAAATTAGATATCTGGATTGGACTATTCTACGGAATTATAAATTTTATTATAATTTTTTTACTAGAACTTTTAAATAATTAAATACATAGAATATTAATAAAAATTACATAAATTTATTTTAATTTGTATGGGATTTTTACATTTTATTTTACTTTACTAAGTATAATTAATACCATGTTATTAAAATAAATAATTTAATAAATAAATTTTAATTTTAAAAAGATATTAAATAGTAGAGGGTCAAAAATGTAATTTCACCACCTAATCTCATGAGATAAGTTATCCTATGGATTGTGTCCCGCTTCCCCCTCCCCCAAAAAAAAAAAACGAGATAGAACAATCTCATAGATTTGAGATTCATAGTCCGGTGCAAAAATTTTCAATCAAACAACGGATTATTAGTTCAGATGAACTATTAGTCATATCTCATGCTTAAATCCTTCTAAACAAACACCAACTATGTGGTTTGATAATATGATTATTTATGACTTATCAACATAATTTTTTAAATATATCTTTCTTTTAGTTAATCATATGAGATGAATAGATCAAATCATTATAAATTTGATTGATTCAGTAAGTTAATCTCAACCAACTTAATAATAATTTTAATAAAAACCCTAATGATATTGTCAATTGAACTGAATTGATATAAAATTTAAAGTTAATAGTTAAAATTAAAAACTTAAGAATTAAAATTAACACAATAGACAAAATGTAAAAACTATTAACGTAATGAGTTTGGTTTTCCTCAAATTGATCATCTCAACTTGAGAGAACGTTTAAGCCTAGTATGCCGATTTTTGGGATCGATTTTGATGATTCAAAACGTTTACTATTTAGGACTCGTTGAGTAGAATATTCATATAAAAAATAAGACAATCAGACATCAGTAATTATATGTTTGAATCAAATTTATATTATAAAAAAATATGGTTATTTTTAAAATTATATTTGTCGTCCATTTTTTCAAAACAAATATAATTCAAACCAATAGATGCCAATGTACAATCATCTTATTTTTCGCATAAATAATATACACAATAAATCTCAAAATTGAACGGCTCAGATTACCGAAATCGATCCCAGAATGGATTTACCAAGCCCAAACACTCTCTCAAATTGTCCAACTTGAAAGAAGTCAAACCCTAATGTAATTTGTGCAAATAAATATATAGAAAAATGTGAGTTCAGACAATAAATTATTAGGTACTTCTGGAGTACCATGTGTTTATATTCTTTCATCAATCATCTATCGCCATGTCCCTTCTTGTTCCTCAATCATGCAATACAAAATTGTAACACCCCACATCTATCTATCTACATATTATATACGCAAAAAGGAGTTTTTAGTGAGGAGTCTTATGAGATTCAATATAGTTTAAATTTTAAAATAAAATTTAAAAGTTTTAATTAATTAATTTTTGTATAACTTGGTTGGTCTTTTGACCTAGCCGATTAGATTAAATTATTTTTTATTTGACTAATTTGTTGGTTGAATCAAAATATATTGATTGAATTTGTTTGATTCGAAATAAATTAAAGATTGATCTGATTAAAGATTGAACGACTGAGATTACTTGATTAGAAATAAAATTTTATTTTATAATCCCACATTAGGAAAAGAAAAAGAAAAAAGTATATTGTTTCACTTATATAAAGTGAACCTTAATATTGTAGTGTTGTGTATGCTTCAATCTAAGACAGTTTAAATTTTAAATTCAAATAACATTTAGCTCTGATACCAAAAGGCGGAAGACGGAAGACGAACATAAACAATGAAGATGATGAATTATGAAATCAAAACAGAACTGGAATGCACATATTCAAAATATAAACATTTAATTAAAACATTTAATTTTAACACATTTAATTAAATCATAACATTCAAAATAACTTATAATTACAATTGTAGCAACTGCAAGGATCTTAACTCGGTGCAAAGGGAGAATTTTAAAGAGCACTCAACACACTCTGATTTTCTTACAACAATGAAGAGGAAGAAAAATTGACGACTGCCTGAATGCTTACAATTGATTACAATATATAGAAATAAAAGCAGAACAGTGAGCATGTGACTTCTGAAAGCAGCTGGCAGATCATGAAGTAAAGGAGATGCTGTCGGATGCTTTCGGTGGGGTGATTGCACAGCTGAACAGCCTTTAGCAAAAGTTGATTGGGTGAATAGTGACGATGAACAGTAAAAGTGAACAGTAACTTTTACTATTCATTACTTTCGGTGAAATATGTAAATAAAGGAATCATTATAAATATAAATTAGCAGCTTTTCTCAAAAGAGTATTGATTGAAGCTAATTTGTATTTATAGGGAATCCTATGTTGATTAGGCAAACGAATCCTGAGCATCTTGAAACTCGGGTCCTGAGTATTGATTAGTTGATTCTTCAGAAGAGTGTGCACTGTCTGAACCTTCTTCTGAATGGGCTGAACTGGAAGCAGATTGGGCTTCAGCTTGATCTGTAATTTGGCGGGCTAACTGGAGCAGTTCGTCTCTGGATAACTTGGGTTTGACCTTTGATTTAGCTGTGGGCTGAGTAGGAGGAGGAATGGGCTTAGCCTTAGCTTTGATTTGTGATTTGGGCTGGGCCGGAACTGCAGGAGCTTTGGACTTAGCCTTGGATTTTGATTGTGTTGACTGGGCTGCTTTGGATCTGGGTTTGGAACCACTAGATGAGGGGCTTCCAAGATTGATTGGAGGAAGACTAGGCTGACTTCCTTGAGTAACTACAGCAGTTGGGTTCTGCTGGGCTTTAGCAAGAGCAGGAGTTGGAGCACATTGATCAGGTGGGAATTCGTCTTGAACAATTTCAAGAATTCGGGGAACATTATACTTGACCCACCATTTGACTGTATGTTGGCGAATGATGATGTTATCATCAATCCCATAGTGCCATTTGAATATCCAGGGAATTTTGTATTTAGCAATAAATATGAGTAATAAGGGAAATTGCCGTTGGTGAGTAGAAAATGGGTAAACAGAAGCAAAATAATGAATTATGTTACTTCCCCTTATAACCATCCATATCCTCCTCATCAGTCTGGTCTGCGAGAGTCCTCTTTAAATTATCATCAGAAGTCTTCTTGTTTTCATTACCCATAGCATTCCATGATGAATGATCAGTTGAAACAGGAACTGTTCTATTTACTTGACTCTCAAAATGAGGCATATTAACATTTGCATTAGCTAGTTCATCTTCACTGTCACTGATATCAATGATGCCAAAAGAAGCTCTTGCACTACCTGGCGTCGAAGGAGCCATCTTCTTGCTGAGACTGCTTTCTTCACTGAATGCCAATCGTTTTCTCACTTGGCTGCCATGGTCCATTTCAGGTTCAGAAAGGAAACCTGTTTTGCTTCCCTCAATTTGTGTGGTCAGCTTACTTGGCATATCAATCGAAGGTGAACCTATTAGACGAAAAAAATATGAGAAAAGGAAAGTAAGTCTGTCCTAGACTAGCTATACTTGTTGAGTAAGGGATTTTTTCACCTTTTTTTTTTTTTTTTTGGGGTAATGTAATGTGAATAACTTAAACCTACCATAACTTGATATTAGGTAATGGCTTAATGCCTCTAAAAGTTTTATACCATAGAATAGAATACATATAGTCACCAAACAAAAAAGTGTAGTTTTATAACTGTGCTTGATATCTTTGTTCATTGTTTGCAAAAAATGGGGGAAGTATACAATCAGAAAATAGAAAATTCAAAAGCTATATAATTCTCCTAGACTGGGAAAATTCACAAAACAACTCCCAATAAAGTATCAGTAAGCCTAACAGTTGATTTCCTTGTATACAGAAACCCATTATTCAAAACAATTAAGTCTGCCATGCAGGGAAAAAAATGTTTGGATGGTCCCAGATTTCAGATTGATAAGCATTTACATGAAAAATGATCAAAACAAGTTTTTTAGAAGATTACCCTGCATGCATAAAAGACATCAGTTGAAGTAACATCAAATTTTAAATAAATAATTGCTTTGAAAGATTGGAGCTTTAATCAGATAGTAGTTTCTCTACTACCTGCCACTTGCAGATCGTTAATTTCTTACAAGGGGAACAACAAGTTGAGCTCATACCAGTTGCAGCTTTTATGGTTTCATTGTTATCCACAATTGCGGTTTCTGCTTCCAAATGTTCTGAGCTATTTGCTACATCCAATCCATCTTTTAATTCGCCTTCTTTACTTGTCTGCTTTTTATGCATTTCCGATCGGGATTTCATCATTCCAGCCAATGGACTTCGCCCTCCTTTGAAGTCCAAAATACCCTTCTCCAGTGCTGACACTCGCCACTCCAATTTTTTATACTTCAACTTCCAAACCTCAACCTCACTTTCGGCTCTTTTCTTCTCACACTCCAAAACCTTGTTTTCAATCATCAACTGAATGACCTTATCTTCCTCATCTTTCTCCTCTGTTAAATCTACAACCTTTCCTGTCCCTTTGCCTATATCAGCCTTGTTTTCATTTTCAATCTGAGTGATTTGCTTTTCAAGTTCAACATTTCTTCTCTTCAAAAGCTTAACCTCATCTTCAATCCCGACCCTTTCGACTTCCAATGCACCAAGCTTACCCTCGAGCAATTCAAACTCACTCTTCTTCTTCTCAATCAGCAATTCCAACAACACACACCTCTCTTCAGCCATGCTACTCCTCTCTTCCAATTCTTTGCATTTATTTCTACAGCCTTCTGATCCTCTCTCTAAACCAACCTCACCATTTACAATTTCTTGACCTTTCACTTCCTTCAATTCCATTCCCAAATCAACCTTCACTGATTTCTCATCTAACTGCATCATTCAACTCTCTGTCTCGGAAGCCAAAAACCCTAATTTCAAACATTTAAACAAGCCGTTACACAAGTAGGAAATTCAGAAGAAAAAAGAAATACCGGTTGGCATAAGATGAGGGGAAATAAAAGAAATATAGACAAAAATAAATACACTCGGAGACCCAAATTTCTTTGTTTGGGTTCATAGAAAAAGAAAAGAAAACAGAAACAAAAATTTAATGTTTAAGAAGAAAAAATCAAACTTTCTGGTAGTTCACAAAATAGGGTAGGACTGAGTAGTGTGTAATTTTGAGAAATTTGCTAAATAGAAAATCTTACGTTTAACTAGACAGCATAAGATGAAAGTCCAAGTTGAGATTATATTTTCTTCTCTCAAAGATTCTCGGAAACCAAACAGGAAAGATGAAAGGGAAATAAAATTAAAACAGATTATTAATGTAAGAAAGTAGAAAAAAACTTACAGCAGATAAACAAAGTGCATTTGCAAGTAGAAGAAGTCTCTAGGGTTCCACCAAAACAAAGGACTTCCAATTGAGGGATCGGAGTGTAAGATGGCGAGGGGCCTACTGTTCTGTTCTGTGTACGGTTGACGGGTACGAATGAAATCAAATACAACCTCCTTCAATCACCCATCGGGTTTTTAAAATGACGGAGGGGTGTTTTAGAAAGTTGGTAAAAAGTTGATTTTTTGCTTTTTAATAAGGTTTTTAACTTTTTTAAAAGTTATTTGGGAAGTTAATAAAAAGTTGACTTTTTTGATTTTTGATTTAATATTTTTTAAAAGTGTCACATCAATCTAAAATGACCAAAATATCTTTATTTTTTTAATTAAAAACACCTTTTTAAATTAATTAATTATAATGTCCCAAAAGGTAATTTGGTAAATTTTTAAGTGGCTTTTTTTTCTCTTCCCAAATGGGAATATCAGCGTTTTGGAAAGGTTGGCATTTTGGGAATATGCTGAAAAACGCTGGCTTTTTGTTCACTTGCCAAAACGGCACATATTCCCCTTTTCTTTTTTCTTTTTTTTTTTATTTTTAAAAAAAATTAAAGTTGCGTTTGGTAGAGTTTTCTAAGGCTAAGTTTGGTAAGTTGTCAAAAAGTTAAAAAGTCAAAAAGTTACTTAAAAAGTTAAAAAGTTATCACTATTCACCAAAAGTCAAAAATTACGGCTACACAGCTCTTAATTCTAATTTTCTCCTGTAAACTAATTTATATAATTTTGTAATACACATTTTTCTATAAAAAGTAAAAAAGTTAACCTAAACATTCATATTTTTTTCCTCATTATTTTAGTCTAAAAAGACAAAAAAGTGCACTTATTTAGGACACCTCAAACAACCCCTAATATGATTTGAGAATAGAGTTGTATTTTGAGTTTGTGAGTTTTGAAATTATGATTTGAGTGTGAAAAATTTGTTTGGTGAATGAGTTTTGAAAAGAGTTTTGAATTGAGTGAGAAATTTTTGATATGACATATGATATTTGATACAAAAATTTACAACTTACAACTAAACACACAACTCAAAATTCTATTCAAAACTCATAAAAAAAAATTCAAAAATTCAAAAAATATTTTTTATTGAATATATAAAAATTAACATGGGTCAATTGCAAAAAAAAAAAAATGCACTGTTTCGATCAACCAGCCGGACGACCGATGGGACGTCCGGTTAGCCAAAATTTTCCCGCCTTGGTTAGAGTTTTCGAAAGTGAGTATGGAATTAATTTTTGAAAGCTGTAAACAAACACCACGTTGAAAACAAAGGGTAAAACTAAAGTTTGGAAGCTCCACCAAACAGAGCCTAAGGCCTTGTTTGTCATAACTTAAAAGAGTCAAAAAATCAAAAAGTTAAAAAGTGACTATCTTATTTAAATCATATCATCTTATTTAAGTCATATCACCTCTCTATCACATCACTTCAAACCTAACCCATACTCAACCCATATTTCATAAAAAGTCAAAAAATATACTTATTTAGATCATTCTAAACCACCCCTAAACTAGTTATCCAAGTAACTCGCTTTTCAACCTATTAGCAAACTAAGTGATTATTTGGCATGTACTAAAATAATACATGTTATTTTAGCACATTATCCTATTTAAGTCACAATCATTTTATTTAAGTCACATCCGTTCTATATTACATCACTTCAAATCCAATCTATATTTCACGTTTTTTCGTAAAAGTAAAAAAGTATACTAAGGGCAAGTTTGGGAAGATCCAAAAAAGCCAAAAAGTCAAAAAGTTACTCAAAAAGCTAAAAAGTTAACACTATTCACCAAAAGTCAACAATTACGGCTGCACAACTCCCAATTCAAATTTTTCTCTACAAATCAATTTTTACAATTTTTTATTACACATTTTTCAATAAAAAGTCAAAAAGTTAACCCAAACATCCATATTTTCAACCTCAATTTTTTAGTCCAAAAAGACAAAAAGTGCACTTTTTTAGTCTTCCAAAACTTGGCCTAATTTAACACTTTGCAACACAACTCCTAATTGGCTGTTTTAAAAACACAAGTTCAAAATGCAATTTCACTATGAATTGCAAGTTCGAAATGTAATTTCATATTGATATAACCTGCAGATTATGAAATCATGTATTTTTAAAGTGTTAATATTTAAGTGAGAATTAAATTCTACACTTCAGTACAATTTAATTTAGATAAATTACATTTGGACCTCTTAGAAAATCAAAGCGTGTTGTATACACTTTGAATAAAGATTATTGAAAAAGCTTTGATAGATTATTGAGGAAGTTTTGGTGAATTGTAGAAGAAGCTTTGTTGGATTGTTGAAGAAGTTTTGATGGATTATTAAGGAAGCTTGGATGGATTCTTGAGGAAGTTTTGATAAATTGTTAAGAAAGCCTTGATGGATTACTAAGGAAGATTTAGTGGATTCTTAAGAAAGCTTGGATGAATTCTTGAGAAAGCTTTAGGAAAATTGTAGAGAAATCTATATAATATAGGAAAAAAGTTTTTGAATTTATGTCAAAAATGTATCAGAGATATATTTCAATTAAACGGCTGAGATGATTCCTAATAAATTTCTAAGGGTTAAGATCAATTTCTTTCCCTCCCAAACACTCTCTGCTCTCTCTCTGTCACGTCTGCCCAAACCCATTCTCTTCAACTCTCTCTCTCTCTAACGTTCTCTCTTGAACACCCATAATCTTCTTCAAGATTAGGAGGTAGCAGATCAGAGAACGTTAATCTTCTTCAATTCTCTTCTCAAACTGGCGACCAGAGGTAGTAGATCAGAGAAACCTAAGATAATTTTCCAACAATTTGATTCAAACAGAGATGGACCAGCTCACCACCACCGCCGCTGCTCATCATCACTGTCGCCATTGATCACCATCAGTTTTCGAAATCGCAAGGTATTTTACATTCAGTTCTTCAATTCTTTGTCTTTCTTGATCGCTATTTTAGGTTGAATTTCCATGGGTTCCCTGCAATCCAAACCTCAAAACAAAGGTATTTTACATTGAGAATCCTGAGGCTTCAGTTTTAGGGAAAAAAAATTTCTTCAATTTTTCCTTCAATTCTTCAATTCTTTGAGAATCCTGAGGCTTTAGTTTTAGGGCGAAATTTTGAATTAATCGTAGTTGTCTGGCATCACATTCATTTCAATTTCAACAAACAAAAAGAAACAACATTTAGCAACCAAGGGTTAATTTCACTTTTATCCCCCTTACAATATCACTATTTTTCTACTTCATCTCTAAACTATCAATCTCATCTAAAGATTTCATCACATTCATTTCAATTTCAACAAACAAAAAAATTCTGATCTTTGTTCATATGGTCCAAACACACATTAAATTTGTTGTGGGTGTAATTTGTTCAAAATAGTAGGAAAATTGAGTGTATCCCCACTCTCATATTAGTATTTCAAGAGTATTTAGCAAACTCAAAAGTATTTAGGACCCATTTCATGAATTAGCACCCATTTCCCATTAAAGAATCAAACATTTCATAAATCAAACCCATTTAAGCTGAAATAGACACAGATTGGGGCATCTAAACTGAAAGAAACACAGATTGGGGCATCTAAATAAACACAAATTGTTTAAACTGAAATAAACATAAATCAAACTGAAATAAACAGATTCCGGAATCTAAATTGGGGCATCTTCAGATTTAATTAATGAAACCCATTAAAACCCATAACATCACAGATTTCAATTTCAACAAACAAAAAGAAACAACATTTAGCAACCAAGGGTTAATTTACTTTTATCCCCCTTACAATTAACTGGTTTGTCTATATGGTTGTGAAGATCACCATTGAGTGTATGAACTGGTTGTTTATCTTTGCTTTTTATTGCTGTTGTTGGTTGATTATTAAATCGCAAACCTAATTGAACAAAAAGGGCAAGACTTGGTGTATATTATATATATGTATAACATATATAATCAAATCAATTTGAATGCTTGGAAGCTATCTCCTATGATCAAGCAATCCTTATTATCACCTTCACTATATATTTTTTCTCTGCCCTGTGAGTCCTTGATATTGGTTTAGAATTCAAAGGGACTCAATAAACAGTTTATTCCTTTATTTATTATGAATAGCATTTAGATAGCCAAATAACAGAGGACAAAACATTTTTCCAAACAAGTTCACTGAGCCATTTCCATTTTCTCTATCTAGAAAATAAATTTCTATATAATAAGGGAGAAGGGATTTTGAATTTGTGTGAAAATGTATCAGAGATACATTTCAATTCAATGGCTGAGATGAGTTGTTTTTAACCATTGACGGCTGAGATGCTTTCTAATATTTTCAATTCCCACCCAAAGCAATCCCCTCTATCTCCTGTGTTCCACCCACTCCAAACATTATTTGCACACTTCTCTCTCTCTCTCTCTCTCTCTCTCTCTCTCTCCAACTTCTCAGGTCTCAAACTCTATCCTCAGAGATCTCTCTCTTCCTCTCCCTCCTCTCCACGGTCGAGTCGTCTCCACCGTCGCGCCGCTTCCGATCTCCTCTCCAACTTCTCAGGTCTGAAACTCTCTGTCCTCAGAGATCTCTCTCTTCCTCTCCCTTCTCTCCACTGTCGCTCCGCTTCCACCATCGCGTCGTCTCTACCGTCGCGTCGCCTCCGATCTCCACCAACAGCAACTCTTCATCTCTTCTCCCTATTAGATCTCAACCCACTACGGCACCTCCGTCCTCCATTGCAGAGAAACTGTAAATCATCTATACCCATCTCTGATTTTTATTTTTTATTTTGAATTTTATATTTTTTGAATAAGGGAGAACCGTTTTTTTTTTCTTCTTCTTCTTCCATGAATATTTTTTTTTTCTTTTTCTTCTTCCATTAATATTTTATAGATTACCATGTCATATTGTTGATTATGGTTTCATGTCTATAAATCGTGAACAACTGTTTTTTTTCTTCTATCTTTCTGTATCATTAATTTACATGATTTTGTTAGTTCTGTTAAGCCCAGTTAAAAGAAAACATGTATCATCATCAATTCATATATTTCTGACAGTTGGTATAGAGATTTGGATTGAATTAAGAATATGATTTTCATAGTGTCAGTTTTTTAACTTAGTTTTGACAGTTTGGAGTTTATAAAT